AAATGCAGTTTCACACCAGATGTAACGGGATACACACACAGCTTTAGTTGTGTTCCCATAGAAACCGTGTAACTCTTGTTGAGTTTGAAATATGATTGGTCACTCCGACTCTCATGCATGCTGAAGGTGAAAACATTCTTCTTCACCTGCCTTGCTTACGAGGACACAGTCCTTCCTTGGTCAAAGAAAACGGTTAAATAGAACAGACTTGCATCACGTGACCACGGCTTCCACAGCGGTCATGTAACGTCACGTGACACGGGAGATAACTTTATATTTTATACATATTAGTTACAATATAAATATATAACGAGCCTTTTACTTTTTAAATAGTGTATATGTTTGTTTGATTAAAAATAGGAGCGAGTTACTACCCGCTAGCCACCGGAGCTTCAACCACTAAGCAACTAACCAACCATAGATAACTTCTTTGGATCTTAAAAAAAAGATTTTAAATTAGTTGACTTACTTGAAATTTGCCGCCGAAGTAGCTGTCGGCTTCTGATCCGCTGTCCTTTTGAAAATACTGCGGTGTATTCTGGGAAATGTATGACCAAGGCTAGGCTACAAGACATCTCCCGTGTGTCCTTGCTCAGCTAGCTAAACGGCTAACAAACGGAGAACACACGCCTCGGTAGAACATGAACACTGGAGCATGCTATGGCAGTTCCTGATGACATATCTCCTAGGCAACCGGGGCGGGGCCTAGACATCAAGGCTAGGTTCCTTGGCATTGAGAATCACCCCCAGTCTCTTCTATGTCACTGGGAAAACTAGCATGTGTGGCCCCGCCCACCCTGGCTGGGGATCACCCTCAGGAAAGAGCAGAATGTGCACTGGCTAATAGAAGGTAACCATTAGCATTACCAACTCCACAACATGGCAGAACACGTTCAGGTTTGTTATTAGTAGAGAAAAAACAAGACCAAACTAAAGAGTCACGTAGCTGTTGGCCAGTCAGAGAAGAGATGTGCACATCCAACTAACTTCTCCCCCTCAAGCAGAACGACTCTAGCCTAGTGAACTAGACCAAATTCTTGCTTTGCAAAGTTTGGTCTAGGCATGCTCCATTGGAACCTCAGCAGCTCCTACCAGGACTCTGGCTAGCCAATCACAGCTCTCTAGAGGGGTTTCAAACACATAAAGAGCTGTGATTGGTCCATAATGGTGGGCCAATCAAAGTGCTCTATCTGCTTAGTGAACAAATCACAACAAATCCGCTTTGTGGGCCAATCAGGGCACTCTATATGCCTGGTGGGTGGGATGATGCAACAGAGTGAAACAAGAGTATGTCACATTCATCGTCCAGTGGAATGCGGAGATCATTTGAAAGACAACGGTAGAACCTGCCCCACAACCGAGAGCCATCAATGGAGCGTTGCCAGACTAAATAATACATTTATTTAGTCTGGCTTGCCAGGCTAGAACGACTCATGAGGCATCTGTTCATACCAAAGCAAACGAGGGACTGAGACCTTTAAGGAAGAAAACTAAATCAGTAATAAAAATTCACTCAGAAATCTAATCTACTGGTAACAAGTAAAACCCGGAGGGTCCGTTCCTGTTTTGGTTCTTTACTAATTTAACCTGATAAATTTCTTTTTGTCTCACAGCCTCTCCACAGAGCGCCCCTCCCCCCCTTAACGGTTCCGTGTCCAGTTCAGGAGGACCCCCAGCCCGTCCCACTGCTGCCGGTTCTGCAAGGTCCGGAGGACAGGTCCCAGCGAGGGCTGAGTCCAGGTCTCGGAGGCGGAGGGACAAAGAAGTCCAGATCCCGGACAAAGATCTCCCTGGAAGCTTTGGGAATCCTGCAGAGCTTCATCGGTGATGTGGGACTGTACCCGGACCAGGAGGCCATCCACACCCTGTCAGCCCAGCTGGACCTGCCCAAACACACCATCGTCAAGTTCTTCCAGAACCAGCGCTACAACGTCAAGCACCACAGTCAGAGCAGAGAGGCGGTGCCTGAGGAGGATGACCGAGACAGCTCCAGTCCCAGTGAGGAGGGGGGGTGTACGGTCCAGAGCAGGGGGGAGGAGGGTCTCTCTGCTTCTGATGAGTCCAGTGAGGACGGCAGAGTTTCTGTAGAAGCCTTCAGAACACAAGGAGTCGAGCAGGAAGGAGAGGTGGAGATGGAGAAGGAAGAGGGGGATGATGGGAAAGCCTCAGGACCAGCTACGTCCTCTCTGTCCCCCTACAGCAGCGTGGACAGTCCTCATTCTGCAGAGCAGCAGAGATAACAGCAGAGACACCGGGTCAGAACCAGGGATGCCGTCAAACTGTGAGAACCCCACAGAACTCAATCAGAGGAGAATATTTATACCGGGACCAGTCAGGAGGTGGAGGTTAATCACAGCTTAGCTTTATTCTCATCAGAGTGTTAATCATCTCAAACCTTCTCCTGTTCTGATTCTACAACGACCTTGTTTTCCTTTCCTGTCGGTGTTTAAATGAAGCAACATGAGTTACAAACCAAACGTGAATAAAGATTCTGAAGATGCGCTTCTTTCATTTCTGCCCACAAACAGATCCAGATGGATGATAACAAACTTTAAAGGCTGAGCTGGAGCAGCAGAAACGCAATAACGTTAATAATGTTCTACAGTACGGTACGATAACATTATTTGTATTCTACAGTACAATAACGTTAATGTTCCATAGTACGGTACGATAACATTATTAGTGTTCTACAGTACGGTACGATAACATTATTTGTGTTCTACAGTACAATAACGTTAATGTTCCATAGTACGGTACGATAACATTATTAGTGTTCTACAGTACGGTACGATAACGTTATTTGTGTTCTACAGTACAATAACGTTAATGTTCCATAGTACGGTACGATAACATTATTAGTGTTCTACAGTACGGTACGATAACGTTATTTGTGTTCTACAGTACAATAACGTTAATGTTCCATAGTACGGTACGATAACATTATTAGTGTTCTACAGTACGGTACGATAACGTTATTTGTGTTCTACAGTACAATAACGTTAATGTTCCATAGTACGGTACGATAACATTATTAATGTTCTACAGTACGGTATGATAACATTAGTGTTCTACAGTATGGTACGATAACGTTATTTGTGTTCTACAGTACAATAACGTTAACGTTCCATAGTACGGTACGATAACATTATTAGTGTTCTACAGTATGGTACGATAACGTTATTTGTGTTCTACAGTACAATAATGTTAATGTTCCATAGTACGGTACGATAACATTATTAGTGTTCTACAGTACGGTATGATAACATTAGTGTTCTACAGTACGGTACGATAACGTTATTTGTGTTCTACAGTACAATAACGTTAACGTTCCATAGTACGGTACGATAACATTATTAGTGTTCTACAGTACGGTATGATAACATTATTAGTGTTCTACAGTACAGTACGATAACGTTATTTGTGTTCTACAGTACAATAACGTTAATGTTCCATAGTACGGTACGATAACATTATTAATGTTCTACAGTACGGTATGATAACGTTGTTGGTGTCCTACAGTACGGTACGATAACGTTAGTGTTCTACAGTACAATAACGTTAATGTTCCATTGTACGGTACGACAACATTATTAGTGTTCTATAGTACGGTATGATAATGTTGGTTGTGTCCTACAGTACGGTACAATAACGTTATTTGTGTTCTACAGTACGGTACAATAACGTTGTTAGTGTTCTACAGTACAATAACGTTAATGTTCCATAGTACGGTACGATAACGTTATTAGTGTTCTACAGTATGATACAATAACATTAGTGTTCTACAGTACAATAACGTTAATGTTCCATAGTACGGTACGATAACGTTAATGTTCTACAGTACGGTATGATAACATTGTTGGTGTCCTACCGTACGGTACAGTAACGTTATTTGTGTTCTACAGTACAGTAACGTTAATGTTCCATAGTACAGTACGATAACGTTGTTGGTGTTCTACAGTACAATAACGTTAATGTTCCATAGTATGGTACGATAACATCATTAGTGTTCTACAGTACGGTATGATAACGTTGTTGGTGTCCTACCGTACGGTACGATAACGTTATTAGTGTTCTACAGTATGATACAATAACGTTGTTAGTGTTCTACAGTACAATAACGTTAATGTTCCATAGTACGGTACGATAACGTTGTTAGAGTTCTACAGTGAAATAACGTTAATGTTCCATAGTACAGTACAATAACGTTAATGTTCCATAGTACGGTACGATAACGTTGACACCAATAACGTTAATGTTCCATAGTATGGTACGATAACGTTATTAGTGCTCTACAGTACGGTACGATAACGTTATTAGTGTTCTACAGTACAATAACGTTAATGTTCCATAGTACGGTATGATAACGTTGTTAGTGTTCTACAGTGAAATAACGTTAATGTTCCATAGTACGGTACGATAACGTTAATGTTCCATAGTACGGTATGATAACGTTGTTAGTGTTCTACAGTGAAATAACGTTAATGTTCCATAGTACAGTACAATAACGTTAATGTTCCATAGTACAGTACGATAACGCTGTTGTTCTACAGTACAATAACGTTAATGTTCCATAGTATGGTACAATAACGTTATTAGTGTTCTACAGTACAATTACGTTAATGTTCCATAGTACGGTATGATAACGTTGTTAGTGTCTACAGTGAAATAACGTTAATGTTCCATAGTACGGTACGATAACGTTAATGTTCCATAGTACGGTATGATAACGTTGTTAGTGTTCTACAGTGAAATAACGTTAATGTTCCATAGTACAGTACAATAACGTTAATGTTCCATAGTACAGTACAATAACGTTAATGTTCCATAGTACAATAACGTTATTAGTGTTCTACAGTACAGTACAATACCGTTATTTGTGTTCTACAGTACAATAACGTTAATGTTCCATAGTACAGTACAATAACGTTAATGTTCTATAGTACGATAACGTTATTAGTGTTCTACAGTACAGTACAATACCGTTATTTGTGTTCTACAGTACAATAACGTTAATGTTCCATAGTACGGTACGATAACGTTGTCAATGTTCTACAGTATGGTACAGGAAGGCAGGGAGACAAGCCAAAGCCTCTGTTTTTATTATCCTTTCTACTTCAGACTTGCTCTAACTCCTTTGTAAGTGAAGGTCTCACATATCAAAAATAAACGTAATTTATTTTATTTCTGATCAAACTTAAGCAGGTGTATAATTTATCTTTGTAACAAACCTTTTGTACATGACTGGAAAAAGAATATAATTAAGTAATGAAAATTTAAAGTATGCAAAATTTTCACAATAAAAGCATCAATAGAATTCAGCATTTTCACCTGCAGCACCTGGATTGTCCACAAGAGAGCAGAAGACCTGTAACGCCTTCACTTCATGACTTTGGGATTTTCTGAGGAAATTACTAATCCTGTTTAAAATGTAGAAGGCTCAGAAATGTAGAAAAATGCAGCTGTGACCTTAAAAATCTTCAGATTTAACTAGTTTGTGAATTTTCTTAGAAAATCTGTCATTTTAGTTCACTTCTAACATTTCCCTAAGTTTTCAGCGTTTGTGGAGAGAAATTCCTCTATGTGGGTTTAAACTGCTCATAAAATAGAAAAAAGACAATAGGTGGGTAAATCATCTGATTAATCAAAGTTTCTAACGACAGGGAATAATTCAACTCCGACACGATTACATCTCCTTCCATGTGTGCGCGGGAGCTGAGTCATCGGCTCTGCGAATAATTAGAAAAGGGATTAATTTATGAGTCTAGCTAACTCTGTGCAGCTTCGTGCATTTGGTTGCCAGGACACCTGCTAACGGTTTGGATCAGCTGCTTCTTCACCCCTGAAGGGTCATCGTGTCAGGGCGGGGTGGGGGAGGTCTGATCCTGTGCTCATGTGAGATTAAAATTTATTTGATAACACGGATTAGCTCACATCTAATGTTCTGGCTGCACCGGTGCGGTCCAGCGCCTTCACAGCTGGCTATTAGAGCCGTATGTGGGGCCATTAGAGGTGTGTGTGTGTGTATGTGCTGTGGGATGAGGACGCAGGTGCTGCATGGGTTGATATTACCCAGGATGCCCGAGGTGGAGGGGCGTGAGGGTTTTAGACTCTCTGTGGAGCTCGCCATCACACCTGTGATCCCCTGCTAACACACACACTACTTAATACACACTCTGATAAACAGGCTAATACTCGCTGTGGCAGCACTTTACACACCACTGAACAAAGCTCACGCTAAAAACTTTGTGCCCAGCAAGTAAGTTATGCAAAAATAGCAAAATTTACTTTCAGTGATAAATAGAGTTCATTTCAGGTCATTTTAGCTGTAGATTCCTTTCTGTCCTGCTCCGTCGTTGCTGGAGCGCTTCCTGCTGCTGCATCTGGCCCTCGTCAACTCGTGCTGTGACTCACAACACCTGAAGGATTGTTGACATGTGGGAACAGCTGATCGAGCCTTACAGGAGCGAGAAACTCCTGGAATAAGTCACAAAGTTTAAATTTGTCAGTAAAGCGCCTGTTTTGATCAGCGTGTGTGATCCCTGCAACCTGAAGTTCACACGAGTTTAGAGTACAGCAGCAACATGCAGACACGTGTGTGTGTGTGTGTGTGTGTGTCACTGAACACTTTAGAGGCCTTTTGTTTGTTTTATATTAGTTTTACCTAACTTAAGCTGCAAAAAAAAAAAGAATTTTTTTAGCGAGTTTCACTTGTTGACCCTGGTTTAGAGCCAAAGAAGGACTTCATCCAGTTTGCCAGGAAATGCACCGGTTCCGGGCCAATACCGTTTCATATCAAGCACCTAGGATAACCAGATTACATTTTTTTTCTTCTGATGGAGGTTCTGTGAATGGACGTGCTACGTAACTATGACAACACCATATTGCTGGAGGTGAAAGCACACCGGTCAACAGATGTCAGTAAACCCATACTTTAGCTCTCCGGCTGATAATTAGGAAACAGAGGAGTGAATTAAATACTTTGTGGCCTTGAAAATGAATTGTTCTAAATCCGGGGTAGGGAACTCTGGTCCGAGCTGCTCTCCAGCCTGTTTTAGAGGTTTCCTTGCTTCAACACGGTTCAACAGGCTCTGCAGACTCCATTTACCTGCAGATTAAAATCAGGTGAGTTGAAGCAAGAAACCCTCTAAAACATGCTAGATAGTAGCTCTCTAGGACCAGGGTTCCCTTCCCCTGGTCTAAATGGTTAAATGATTTTTGCAATTATCTTTAAAGTTCTCCAATTTATCCGGAAAGTTTTTTAAAAACAAATAAACCTCCAGCTTTGTTCAGGACATTTAGCTGATACACATGAATTTTATAACAAATTTAAATTAACAACAAAGCGAGCTTCAAAAAACTTTAACCATTATTACAGATGAAATAATTCTTGTTCCATATAACTAGTATGCAACATGTCATTAAAATACCTCCAGACTTGGTTACTTATGTCAGATTTTTCAAATTTTCCTCATAATAATGTTTCATTCATTTTATTCTTAT